GAAGAGGATGGCACCAGGATCGCCACACCGGTGCAAAACACGCCGTTGGCAAAACCACCTGCTGAGAACCGAACACCATCATCCCGTTTGTCCGCGCTACTTCAAAGCTCAGCCGCTATGCGCCAACAGTTGGGCGGTGCGGCAAGTGCGCTTTCATATGCTGCCGCTGTGCAATCAACCCCGCAAGACTGGCACATCGAGTTTAGCGTGAATGATCAGCCACTTTCAAATGAGACGACAATCTACCGCGCTGTGCATTTCAGTCAAGCTCAGCCACAAGATGGATCACATCGCTCTGTTTGGAATGGCATTCATACTATCAAGTTTAAGCGGGTCCAGGGCCCTCCACCAAGCGAGCCCAGCTCCTTGACACCGCCTCCAGAGTCACGATCGGATGTCTCCGGTATGCCAGCCTCACTTGATCAACACCCTGTGACGTCTGGTATCCTGCGATTGCTAAGTATACTCCACGGGCTGAACTCGCACCTTGACGACATTCTGCTCGCGAACAAGGAACAAGTCAAGCTGAATGCCGAGCCACTCTCACAGTTTGTCAACACGAAGCTTACGGCGAAACTGAACCGTCAGCTGGAAGAGCCTCTCGTGGTAGCGAGTAACTGTCTCCCTAGCTGGAGCGAGGATCTGGCACGTTTCTACCCATTCCTGTTCCCATTCGAGACACGCCATCTCTTCTTACAGTCCACCTCGTTCGGCTACTCACGGTCGATGACACGATGGCAGAACTCGCAGCCCACGAGCGACTCACGTGATAGTCGACATAGGGACGAGCGGCCATTCTTGGGTCGCCTCCAACGCCAGAAGGTCCGCATTTCTAGATCCCGGATCCTGGAATCTGCGATGAAAGTGATGCAGCTCTATGGACATTCTGCCAGTGTCCTGGAAGTGGAGTACTTTGAGGAAGTTGGAACCGGTCTAGGGCCAACACTGGAGTTTTACTCCACTGTGTCGCGTGAGTTCTCGAAGAAGAAATTGAAGCTCTGGCGAGAGAACGAGTCCAACGACAGTGACGAATATGCTTTCGGTAAGCGAGGTCTCTACCCGGCTCCTATGAGCGCTGAGGAAGCGAGCACCGAGAATGGCGAGAAGCGTCTTGAGCTTTTCAAGATCTTGGGTAAATTCGTTGCCCGCTCTATGCTGGACTCTCGCATTATCGACGTCTCTTTCAACCCGACCTTCTTCCGCATCAGCGACGGCACTAGCGCAGCGGTTGCACCCTCTCTTGGAGCCATTAAGGCTGTTGATGAAGATCTAGCCAAGTCTCTGCTACTCCTCAAGCAGTTTGCCGATGCGAAGAAGGTCGACAACGACAACATGAGCGCAACAGCAAAGTCCGCAGCCCTGCAAGACATAGTCATCCAAGACTGCCGGGTAGAAGATCTAGCTCTGGACTTTACACTTCCAGGCTATGATTCGATCGAGCTTATCCCGAATGGTGCGGACACACCAGTCACGATCGAGAATGTCGACACGTATGTGGAGAAGGTTATTGACTTCACGCTTGGCTCCGGTGTACAGCGGCAAGCCGACGCTTTCCGCGCAGGCTTCACAGAGGTCTTCCCATACTCTGCTCTCAAGGCGTTCACCCCAGATGAGCTAGTCATGCTGTTCGGCCGGACAGATGAGGATTGGTCGCTAGAGAGTAAGTTTCCCGGTATCCAAATGTTGATCATTGTTACTAACCACATTCCAGCCCTTATGGATTCTATCAAAGCGGACCATGGCTACAACCTCGACAGCAAGAGCGTGCGCAACCTACTCGCCACCATGAGCGAGTTTGATGCACAGGAGCGTAGAGACTTTTTGCAATTCATCACCGGTAGCCCCAAGCTCCCGATTGGAGGTAAGTTCTCTACTCATTCCATGACGAACATTCACCATACTAACACTTCCACAGGCTTCAAGGCTCTCACGCCAATGTTTACGGTTGTCTGCAAGCCCAGCGAACCACCCTTCACTTCCGATGACTACCTGCCTTCTGTCATGACGTGTGTCAATTACCTGAAGATGCCGGATTACAGCACTGTTGAGATTTTGCGCGAGAAGCTTAGTGTGGCTATAAGGGAGGGCCAGGGGGCTTTCCACCTCTCTTAGACTGCTGGATGAGTGGGTGGTGGTAGAAGTGACGGTTACACTAGTGGGGAATGAGGAGGATGGAATGGTGGGAGCATGGTAGGAGTAGGGCAGGAAGAATATGGGATACCCTGGGGCTTTTTCCGTACGGGGCGCCAGGGGACATAGTTTTACGCTTTTTTCTTCTTTGCTGGGACATGCATAGATTCAACGCCTTTACCACGATGATGTTCGTGGGTTTTTAGTATGCATTGTAAAGTTAGGGGATGGATGGGATGGGGGCGTTTCTGAGTGTAGGTAGTTTAGTCTGTATAATTCAGACTTTAGAATCGTAAAGGGATTTATGACTAGCCTGTTTTGTTGGGTTTGATAGTCGCTGATGTGAATGTTCTCTAGTCAGAGCGTTGTGCTCAGTATGCATTCATAACCACTCACATCATGGCTGAACTGAGAGCATACTAGATGCTATCCGAGCTCTACTTTCGATCGCGTTGTCAGAAGGCAAATTCTAGTAGCAAGTTCTACCAGAAAGATATGAGTTAATTTCGTAAATGCCCATTTCTGGTATTGCTCATTCATGAGGTATCAAAATGTATCTATATTACGCGTTGCGGCAGCTGTCAATGGCTCGGCTATTTTGCGTCTCCAGAATACCGCGGGATAAAGTCGATGATACCAATGTATGCATTGCTCACACTAAGACCACTTCTACGCTGTCCTCTCTCCTAGCACAGCTTCCGTGCATTACACCGTGCAAGTATGTATCTCCAACTAATCGGTGGTGTGCTGGTGTTTCAGACTGTCTTCGAAGTATGAACGGTACATCAGAACCGTGGATTACCCAGATTTCGTCTCCAACCTTAACATTCGGGAGTGATAGACCAATACGACCTGAAAATGTTATACAAAGTATCCTCTGGTCCAATGCATTTGTACAGGCCGTTCTGTACCCCCTGGATAATTCATTCCAGTTGCCTGTTGCCCAGAAGTCGCTCCATTCGCTATCAGTGGGAAGATCGACGTCATTCTCCTCAAGCAGTTCTAAGGGGCCAGCTCCCCTGTAGATAACGCCGCCACACAAAACTTTGGCAAAAGCGTCGATTGCTTCATCAGTTCTGACTGAAACTCCATTTTCCTCGCAAGTGCGGCGCCAGTTGTGAACAGTTTCCTCAATGTTTCGCGACTCCCAGATATATGTCTTCATGGCCACGGCTTTTACTCGATCGATGAGAATTCCATGTGTCAGCAGATGCTTTCGGTCCTTCACTTCAAGCTTCCCAGACAGATCTCCACAGGTTTTGAAGAGATGATAATGCACATGGGTACGCCTAAGCTGAGGTCTCGGATCGAAGACTGCAGAAAAGTCACGCACCCAGGAAGGCAGGTTGAACCTTTCGCTATTGAATCCTCCGCCAAGTAGGCACCGAGGACTCATCTCGGCCTCTTCTAGCATCTTACAGAAAGCCTCCACATATACCTCTGACACTTCCTTCGTGTAATCGGGGTACAATTCGATTTTGGATGAGTCAGATAATCCCAAGAGAGAGTATATCTTGTCTAGAGGGTTGGAGCATTGTCGACAAATATAGGCAAGGCTGACCTCGGAAAATGTCTTGAAGCCTGGTGCTGCGCGACGCGATCCTTCCAACGTCTGTATGTAGTCCGCTACTTTGATCAGGGACATTTTTTTACTTGCACCTAACGCTTGATAAGCGTCATGACAACAATCATCTGTATGATCAGAAAAGTAACTTAGCATGCCCTTTTGATACATTTTAAAACTCTCCCAAGGGGTTCTCCATGAACCACATATGACCACAGCATGATCTGGTAGAACGGCTTCCTGTACCGTCCAAGCCCTATGCCACCATGGACTGCGAGCAACAAGCTCGAAACCTTCCCAAATGGAGTCAATCGTCCAGGTAGCAGTAGATTTGTCTTTGTAGTACCCTGGGAGTTCGTACAAATGCTTGTCTACCGCCAAATGTTCCACAAGCGCGAACGGATTGCTTTTCATCAAATTAGAGTCGTCCGGAGAACCAAGCCAGATGTACGCCTGGTCGCACAATCTGTAAACCAGGTCCATGTGCGATACTTGGTGAGACTTCTCAATGTTGTCCGTTTGGTCGATACAAATGGCATCCACCCAAATGACGATCGGTTCATCGGGGGATCGGATGTGCTGCAGTGCCTGGAACAAATTTGCTCCAACCCCCATCTTCTCGTCGTTGACTAGGATATAGTCGACAATCGCAGCATCACCCCATGTATATGAGAGAGCAGTATATGGTGCTCGTTCCGGATCATTGAGATCTATCTTGGATAAGGAAGCTTCGATCGTAGTACCCCTGACACCCGGTTGTATGCAGAGTACTCTGATACTCTTCTCGTCTGATGGAAGCGGAAATTGTTCGTGAAATGTGTGAGTAGTCGTGGTACTTCGGCGGGTTTGGCTGCGTGTAACAACCATGACTATGTTGGATCTAGGGAAGATGGATAGCTAGAACCATGAATGCAGCAAAGCAAGGGAACTCGGAGGTCGACCTTGCCAAGGCTCTGCACCGCCTCACCAGGATCAGGCTGTAGCTACAAGGCTGATGAATGACATCACTACACGCATACAAATCAAGGGAGCGTGATCCAAAAATGCTAACGGTAAAGCGTATGCAAGTCATGTATTCGCTGTTTACAAGCACTTTACTTGGAGAAGAAAAAAACCCCAGAGACAGAAAACTTCGCGTTAAATGTAAATAGCATTATCCGTTAAATGATCGTGAGCCCCAAACCATTCCAGTCTCTATCATTACACAGCCAAGCCAAATGCCTTGTTGCAGTACAACAGTCTCAATTCCTCACATCCTGCATTTCGAAGGTGTGTGTGCCAATAAACTACTCGCCATAGTATTGATCTAGTCCTCCTCCTGGGAGTCAGCAAGCGCGGAGTCGGCGTCAGCAGCAGACTGGCTCTTGCTGCCTGAGGCCTTTCCATTGCCAGAAGCTCCGTTGGAAGCGCCGGTGGAAGCGCCAGTGTTGGAAGAAGCACCAGTAGCGCCAGTAGCACCAGTGTTGGAAGTAGCGCCAGTGTTGGCACCAGTGTTACCAGTAGCACCGTTGCCAGTGGCCGCACCAGTTCCAGTAGTGGAGCCAGTGGTAGACTGTCCAGCGCCAGTACCGGCCGAGCCACCCTGGGCAAGCTGGCCGGTTCCTTGCTGGGTTCCAGTAGTAGAGCCAGTACCCGCAGCACCAGTTCCTTGCTGGACACCAGTAGCAGAGCCAGTTCCTGTTGAGCCAGTTCCTGCAGCACCAGTACCAGTCTGCTGACCAGGAACGGGAGGAGCAGCTCCACCAGCCGGAGGAGCAGGAGGGGCAGCACCGCTTGCAAGAGGAGCGGGAGGAGCGGGAGGGGCAGCGCCGTTAGCAGGGGGAGCTGGGGGAGCACCACCACTTGCAAGAGGGGCGGGAGGAGCAGCACCGTTCGCTGGGGGAGCAGGAGGAGCAGGAGGTGCTGCGTTGCCAGCGAGACCAGCAGTGGGAGGAGTGGGGGGAGTGGCAGCTCCAGCGCCCTGTTGGCCTTGGCCAGCACCTAGAATATGTCAGTGTTTATGCTTGAGGTCATGAAATCTTAGACAACTTACCGGCAGTGGGAAGGTTAGCCTGGCCGTTTCCAGCCTGACCATTGGCACCAGTGTTACCACCTGCTGCGGCTGTGCCGTTGTTGGCGGCGCCCTGAAGAGAGTTAGCATGTGTGAAAAGTTTGAAATGATAAGAACTCACGTTGGCACCAGCAGCACCCGCGGCACCCTTGTTGCCCTTACCCTTGCCCTTGCCCTTGCCCTTACCGTTGCCGTTCGCGGCGCCGGCAGCAGCAGTGTTGGCAGTACCGGCAGTGTTGGCAGCGCCGGCAGTGTTGGCAGCTCCAGCAGTAGCAGCGTTGCCACCAGCAGCGCCGCCCGTCAGTCCACCAAGAAGGTCACCAAGACCTCCGGCTCCGCCTGCTGCTCCACCCGCAGCTCCACCTGCTGCGTTGCCGCCACCCGCACCGCCAGTAAGACCACCAAGGAGGTCTCCAAGTCCTCCAGCGCCACCAGCTCCGCCAGCGGCACCTCCTGCTCCACCGGCTCCTCCAGTCAATCCACCGAGGAGTTGGTCAAGCTGACGCTTGGTCTTGAGCTTCTCGGTGGAGAGCTTGCGGACGGTGGAGACGAAGTGTGCGGGCATTTTCTGTCCACCAGTGGTGTCAACCCATCGCTTTCCAAGACCAGCGTTGGTGAAAGGAGCCGGGGCCGCAACAGCGGAGGCAGCCAAAGAGGCGATGAGAATGGAGGAGTCGAACTTCATATTGATATTTGAGAAAGATTGAGATGAACTGCCCGGCAGTGAAGTGTATAGAGAGTGTGTGGAGAAATTAAAGCCGGCTAGCAGCGATATGTACAAGGAAAGTTGATGAAGGGAAGTAGAGAACAAGGACTGAGATGTTCAACAAGTATCGAACTGAAGAATGATTCCATGATTAGGCAAGACATTACCTCTATATATCATCACCCATGGGGAAAGGCCCGATCGGGGAGAGGACGTCCGGTATCAAACAGCTGACGTGTTCTGGCCCTCCAGTAGATCGTTTTGTCGATCATGATGGTAAGTGTGAGGCTGTAGCAATGCGTGCAGGAAGTATTGCATGCCCTGAGGCCATCATGCTGTTGCGCGACCTTACTCTGCCGTAGTCTGCAACTTCGATGTGAGAAAGGCGAAACACTGGTCATGTAGCTGGGTCCCCGCATTATACAAAACACGTGATTGCTTGTTCCATGTGCGACCTGTAGCTCAACCGTACGCTGGGTCTTGGCGTAGCATGAAATCTCTAGGGGACGACCGCACACCGTGTTGACTCCTGGATTTAGACGAGAGCGCGATATCCTTCTCGCGCTCAACGGTATCGCAATAAACGTGATGATCTGGTATTCCTCTACATGCTCATCGTCAACCGTTGACGTTGCTTCCAAATAATGGTGTTGCTGTTTCTGTCGCAGCTCCCGTGAAACGACAGCTTGGCGCGTTATTTCTCCGGTTAAAAACGCGTGTTTTGGTTTTGAAACTAAGGCAGATCTAAGGTTCGGCCTTACAACTGTGACAGTCGATGTGCGAGAGCGTTTTTGACATGTTGTTGAACGTTTCGGGATCGATTTAGTTTGAGGGAGAGGTGACAAAGATGAGGACAGCGGACGGCGAGTGGGGTTCAGCGAAGCTTGAATGTTTAGCGCGCCGCTAGCCTCAAGGGTAGGGAGGCCGTAGCACTTCACCTGGCGCAATAAGCAAGACCTGAAGACCTAGTTCCTCCAAAAAGACCTTCTATAATGTTCCAGTTCGACTCCAGTCCAGCGCTCATAGTGGTCGATATGCAGAACGGCTTCTGCCACAAGGATGGCAGCTTCGCAAGGCTAGGAATACCGACTGACCCAAGAACGATTGTTCCTCGTATCAATGAGCTACTCTCAGAGTTTCGCGCTACTGGACTCCCTGTCTACTTCCTGAAGACAGGGTACAAGGCCGATTACTCGGATAGACGCGGTCGCGATAGACATGACCGACTCGAACAATTCCAAGGTCTCTTACGGGGGTCTTGGGATGCCGATATTCTAGAGGAACTCACGCCTGAGGCTGCCGACAATGTCATCAACAAGACAAGAAATTCTTGCTTTTTTCGCACGTCGCTGGAGACCACACTGAGAGAGCGGGGAGTTGACCATGTGGTTTTGACTGGGGTGGGAACCGATGTATGTGTAGAGACGACGGCAAGAGATGCCTATCAATTGGACTTCGCCGTCACTACCATAAGTGATGCTACCTGGGCATGCAATGAGTCGGACCATCTAGCCGCTCTGCACGCCCTGCGAAATTTTGGTGGCACAGCGTCGACATCGGACGTGATCGAAGCCTTGGAGAAGTTACGAAACTCAGACCATGTGTGACGGCAGGAGCTTGGACCTTTGGTGCACGTGCTTACGCGTTTGCCTGGCATAGGCCACACAGCTCAGTAGAGAGCTCGACAGTGATTACACAGACGTTTCACCACCTTTCGATTATCCTACTTCGTGGTCTCACACCATAGAAGAATGCCATTGGCGTGGGATGATACCACATATATTGCAACGTCGAATTGCGCCATTAGGAAGTATTTCTGTGGCTTAAATTTGATTAACCTCTCTCAATCGTAGCCAAGGGCGTTAAGCCGATCACAATCCTCGCGCTGTGGTAGCCAAGCCTTGTTCCATACCCAATTTGTTCGACATCACAAAAGTACGCACCGAATCGATCCTGCACCGACAGCATCGGAAATTGGTTACACTTGTTTAGAAGGAATCATGTGTGAGGACCAGAAATCTTGTATTTGCATAGGTTCTTTTGATCCCTTAGTCGATCGCAATCAATTACAGCGCTTCGCTAAATCACTACAGTACGCTAGTGGTATGGTGATTATGGTGTGTACACCAAAGAGCGTCGAGCCCGATACATTGCTGAAATGCTCCAAGATCACACCTAAGCATCCAAACTATGTCATCATCATCTTCTTCTTGCCAGGCCCGTAACGTATAGTTCTCCAGGCTCCGCTTCTACCTTCCAGCCTTCATTAACTAGCGCCTTGAGCACAGCAGGCCCAAGCTTCCCTCTTCCACCCTCGCTGTGTCTGCCTAAGCCAGTGATGATTCTGTATGCCTCACCCCCTCCTCTCCGACCAGCACCACTCCATTCTGGTATTCTTCGCTCGCCTAGGTTATTCCACCAAGCTTGCGTTCGTTGCTTGGCAATTCTTGTTGCATCTGCCACAGTGACGCCATGCAAATCCAGATCAGTAGGACCGGATTGTTGCGAAACGAAAGCGTCGGCTTCGGCTGCGTTCATTGCTTTCAGATTCGCGTTTAGGTCACGGCCTTCTTGTGCGTAGTACGCAGCTGCTTGTCTCATGAGGGGTGTGGATTTGCCTCTACGGTAGGCTCCAGATGCTTTTCCAAAAGCTTCGTTTCGAGCAGCGGCTGTGGACATTGCGTCACGTGGCCGGGCAGAGGGAGTCAAGGTAGGAAGTTTCGAAGATTCGGAAGGGTCGGATAGATCGACAGGAGCGTATCGTATGTCGAGCTTGATGCCACCTTTGCCGCCCGTTTCGCTTGCAGGTTGTTGAGTGAGGGACTTTGCTAATTCCTGAGCTTTTATCGTTGATGGGGCAGTGAGGCGTACTATGGCAAGAGCATGCTCCAAGTCCATAGACGGAAAGGCTTCGTTGAGTGTGATCGCGTCTTGCACTAGCGCAGCGTCGGGCTGACTTTCCTTCTTGTGCGTTGCGATGTCCTTCCTTACGATCGCTAGTACAGTCGCCGAAAGAGAAGTTCCGTTTGCGTGGTAAAGTGACGACACAGCCTTCGCCGACAGCCCTGTGCGCGATGTTATGAAGTCCACGTCGCGACTTGTGCTTTGCCAACGATTTGCCGGCGCATCTGATTCGACAAAATGGCTAGTGCCTGCTTCCAGAGATAACCTCTGCTTCTTCTTGCTCTTCCCCTTCTTGCCTTTCTGCGGCACGTGGTGATCTTCTGAGAAGGCCTCAATACCCTTCGCGATTGGACCTTCTTCAGTAGGGCTCTTCCTACTGTCGTCAAAGAAGACTTGGTTCAACAGTTCATCCGTCGCTTTGTCGTAGTCGTATCCGCATTTCTTCAGCGTATACGTCACCTGTGCGAGCCGCAGACCTGGGAAGGTTTCGGCGAGCAACAGCTCCTTTGTCGGAACGTCGAATTGCTCAGTGTCCTTGTAGTATCCATCCTCCAACGACCCTTCCGAACTCCCTGACCGTCCGTTTACGCTAAGTGTGGAGAAGTCGTTCGAGAGAGTCGAGCGGTCCGTGGCTACCGTTTGCGTGGTCCACGATTCAGCGTTCGAGTCGGCATCGGTGCTGTGCTTGTCTGGGCTACCCTGAAAAGCGCCTCCACTGCTGCCCGAGGGGTCGAAATCGAGGGCTTCTGCCTCGGCTGTTAATTTCAAGGGTTCCAGCAATTGCCTAGTGAGGTCAATCGCGTTTGGCTCCCCCGCGAAATCCGAGTATATCGTATATAGTAGTGTGGGATCTATTGCTGGGCAGTACTCCTGCTGTGGATCGCATTGCCGTTAGCAACCTCATTCAGCAGTACCTGGTAGTGTCCTTACCTCGAGCAGACGTAGATCCTCATCCATTTTGGTTCTTGTAGTATTGACGTCTTCTTATGTGTCTGTACAGCGAGTGCATACTCAAACTGGACTTTGAACTGATGGAATTTGTCGCGCAGTCAATCCGTCTGAAGATTTGTGCGTTTGATGCGACAGGACCGAGTATGGCTAATCAATTATGCGATAGGTGGTCGCACAGGCAGAAGTGCGTGGGGTGTTTTGGAACAGCGCCGGCGCGTGATCGCGAAAAACGTGGGAGGGGGAGAACGTAACCGAGCTTCGCGCATAGAGAGCAGTTCACCGTTGTTGCACCATGGCGACTGTAAATATAAGGAGACGAAGGGTTTGCGATTTTCAGTGTGTACGCTACTGGATTCTTCGCGCTGGCTAGATGTTAGACGTCATGTCGCCCTGGATCGAATCGCGCGTCATCCACCAATTTAGTATACGCTAATGCAAGCGGCTGAAGCGTATCTACCACCGCATTCTCGACAATCTCACAAATCGTTGGCATAACAATCGCAAGCCCTGGATACCACCATCAACCCTTACTGATATCATAAAGATGGTCGAGAGCGGCATGTTGTACCATCAGGAGGTGGTGTTTGGCTTGAACAGCATGAGGCATCCTACACCAGGATCATGGACGGGCACTGTTGGCGAGACATCCAAAAGGACATCATCAGAGCGTCCTGTGGAGAACTTTCTAATTGGATCCCATTCGCTTGTATCGTCACTGTAGACTCCGTCGGTTCTGGTTGGGGCAGATGATCTGCCCAAGCACCTATGAATCAGCCTCGCGCCGCCATTTAGGCCCCCAAAGTACGCCCGACATCTCCATCACATCCATGCCAGTGCAAAGGATCTGTGCCGCAGCATGCATGGGTTTCGGGTCTGTCCCACTCCAGTTGTGTCTAGTTTAAGTACACCTCAGGCCCCCATTGCGTGGTGACATTTCGCAACTTCGATCCTTTCGTGTTCTTCGTACTTCAACCTGCCTTCACGATCTCGACCGAAGCGCAAAACACCATGGCACCCCTACAGCGTCGCAGCGCAAATCTCTCGCTCCAAGGCACTGTAGCCGTCATCGTTCTTGTTGTTTTGTTCCTTTCTGGCGTCTTCTGCACCATCATCTTCTTCAAAATATGTAGCAAACAGCGGAGGCGCGAGAGGGCCATGCGCAGGATGCAAGAAGAGCGCACGCCATTTGTTGGCGCCCAGTATATTGCGCCTGCAGGCGCGCCAAGCAACGGAGACGAACCGCCTTATGCAGGACAGGAGCCTCTACGGACAGAGCTGCAAAACAAACAACAATACGAATATACCGGCCCGTCAGAGTTACAAAATGATCAGGAAAATACTGGTCCACTAGAACTGCAAGGAGGCGAAAGGCCTGAGCCTTTGCCAGCGCAACAGCTGGACGGATACGTAGCAGCGGTAGGTACCGTCACTGGAATATTCGTGGTGAAGATGGAAAGTCTGACAGGCTACAGCCAACTTTCGATGACAGCAAACCCATTGAACTACCCGCGAATGTAATGGTGAACGACGCAAACGGAAAAGCCCAAACACAGAGTGGCAAAGCGAAACACGATATCTGAATGAAGATGTCAAGAGATCTCGCATTGTGATGGAGATCACCCTAACTATTTCAGTGCAAATCACAAACCACGTACCAATAAAATGTAATCGCCACAACTGAAGTACCGTAGAGCAGATTTTTGTTTGCAGTATGGGTATGACCACGAAGAATCGGCAACCATACGGCAGTGGCAGCAAGGGAAACCTTCGTCATCCGTCTTGAAGACATCGAGCACAGCATCCGGAAGATACGGAGTAGGGTCAACACCTGCCGCCTCAATAACCAAGCTCGAAGTCAAGGTCATGGATGTGGCAATTATCGTAGTCGTTGAGGCGGTCGTGGCGGACAACGTGGCTTCAGGGGCCACTTGGCCTTTGATGGGCAAGATCTTGTATGAACGTAAGCCATCTAACTGATAGTGCACAGCTGAACTACAGGCGGTATATATAGGGCTAATGTGCTTCACATCTTCGGTGGTTGTACATAAATATCTAAACATATAGTAAACACCCCCTGACCTTGTCATTATGTCCTGTCATTCGAATGACAAACACGCATAGAAGACTACACATATACTGCGATTTACTGAAAGACTCCAACTTGCCATACCTATCGTATTACCTGACACAACAGTGCGCTCCACATCATGAATAGTACAACCACCACATTGGCGCGCATAGCAAGCTTACCAGTAACTCTTCTTACGTCTATTCCGAGGCCGAAGTTCTCTTACGTACCCGCGGCACATGTCAAGCTGAAGGCGGACAACATTGTAACGGTGTTGATTTGTATAGTGCGACAGACCTGGCTATATCTAGAGGGTTGGAGAGATAGCAGAAGACGAAGGAACAGGGACGATAAGGATAGGAAGGAAGGCGAACGAGCCAGGAGGCATATGAAGAAGCGGAAAGCGCTTGGAAAGGCGAGTAGAAAAGCAGGCAAATGCAAAAAGGCGAAGATCATCGCGAAAGGTAAATACACGCTGGTATTGCAATAAAATTGCCAATAAGGTTGCGTTGTATAAAGAATATTATTGCGTTGAGCAACAAGCAACGATCTATTCGCTTTCTGATTCAGAGTCTTCCTCCATGTCTGCATCGTCGTCCAACTCGGAATCATCTTCCATAGCCCCAATAATGTCTAATTTCAACCCCGCTGTCTTGCAAGCATCTTTGGTTTCCTTTGATACTCCCTCTTCGCCCTCAACCACCACCATAGTTTTCCAATTCCTTGCAACAATGTCTCTCTGCTCAATGGTGGCTAGCAGAAGGTCCGTAACTTCGGTATCGCTTCCCAGCTCGTTGAAAAACTCAAGCGTTTCCATCACCGGCGGAAGACCGACGGAATGAAGACGAGGCTTCTTAGACGACTTTCCAAATAGCTGGTAATCCCAATTCAGACGTAATGTCTTAAGCGCCGCAAACTCTCTCATACGTAGCACCTTGCGACCGGTAAGCGTTGGGTGATCGATAGTGATGCTCTTTAAGAATTCGGCTTGTGATTGCGCAGCCAATATGTAGTCTCCAACGTTATCGGAGCTTTCCTCCAGGTCTGGCTCCGGCACCTCCGCTTGCGTCATGACAAATTCTTCGAGCGCCTCGGGTAGTTCGAGTAGATCTCCAAGAGAATCGTCGTTGATGTCGCATTCGATCAGGTGCAGCTGCTTCAGTGCTGTCATGTGCGGCCGCTCAATGTGATCGAAACCCTTCTCGTCTAACTTGGCTCTACGAATTGTCAAGGTTTCCAGTGTGGGGTGTGCAAAGATATGTATGTTTTCGCGCAGGTCCCAGTAAGCATCGTTAGCGCACTGATAGAATAGTGAACAGGTCTTTAAGCAGGTAAGGTCGAAAGGTCCGTTGAACAAGGTACCGATACCGTGTAAGAGCACATCGGGAACCGATATCTCGAGCTTCTCCAAATTTGACATGATCGACAACGTCCGCGAGAGGGTGTCTGAGGTCTTTGGATCGAGATATGAACCATGGACGGGCGCGTCAAGCGCCAGTTGCGATAGCTCTGAAGAGGGATACGCGGGTTTGACTTCATAAATGGATGAGCCACGACGCGGTCGACGGCTTAACGACTCGCTGAATGTGAGGTGGAATTCAGGAGTCTCGAACAGAATGCTTTTGTACAGAACAGCGTCACTGAGGCGGTGACATCTCTTGTTGACGCGCGATACGTTGCAAAGGTCGCGCCTGGATATGCAGCCGACCGCCTCGAAGATGCGGAGTAGCAGCTCATCTGGCAAAGTGCTCAATCTGTCGCATGGTACTGCGCTCTTACTGTCCTCATCCATTGGCATATCTGATATCAAGGTATCGATACGGGATAGAGCGGACGAAGTATCCATGCGCGAGGTACTTCGCAACTTTCGCTGCGAACACGTGGAGATGGCCTGACTCGCTGGAATGCGGGGGAGCTTGTGGAGCTGCCGATCCTCAATCAGGGCACTGGAAAGGATACAAAGGAAATGTTGCCTGAAGGGTCGGACTTTGGATTTGCTCTAAACATGAGGATACAATGTCTGTACGTGCAAGGTCGTGAGAACGAAAGAACGGCGGCGGGTGATACAACAGTCCAGGTCCAGGGGCGGACACTGCAGAGCGCGCACGGCCCGCCACGCGTGGCTGGTCCCATGACATCACGCCAGAAATCTCCTTCCTCATGTGACGCTTGCATTCCCACAAATGACATCTCCGCGCGAGGCGTGTCGAGCTTCTATCTCATGGCGGCGTGGAGTTGCTGGGCAAAATTGCACCTCGGGATCTGATTCAGATGACCCATAGCAAACCACCGGCTGCTTTTCCTACACCAAAACTGACGCACGCCAGTAAACCGCGCACAGCTATGTTGGCACTGTATCTCGCAGCATATACTCAACGAAGGCTTTACCATTGGTATTAGGCCCACCAACGCCCACGGATACTATGTTTTGAGACTTGTTCTCGGGGTGTACGTTGGGCACATCTTCCGAGATGCTAGAAACATGGTTTCACACTGTGTCAGTCAGTGAGCACTACATGCATAGTAACAATGCGTTGAATCAAAGCACCGTACGATATGTGCTCACCACTTGGATCGCGGATATTCAAAACTTTGCGCAGTACGCACTATTTCTCCCCTATGTACTAGTCAATAAATGCTTGAAGATACAGAAGAGCTGAGCGGATTGCAACTTACCCCTTAACACTTCAGAAGGAAAGTACATTCTAGACGCGCAAGGCCTCAAGAAAGAACAGTATGGGCCAAACACCGTCTGTTCACGCGCTGGTTGAAGCAAGCGCGCTTCATATTTCACGTCCAAACGGACAGGGACTATTGGCCGACGAATGTACACTCTGATCGATGCTGTTCAGATGGTCATGCGCCCAAAGATTCCGCTCGCAAAACAAAGCATTGCATCTGTTGTAAACGTCGCCATACTTCAGAGCCAGAGTCTCGTACCCGATTGGGGTAGAGAGATGTTCTGTACATAGCGTGGAAGCCATAACCATCGGCGCCGCTGGTGTCACTTGTCCCAGGCTTCGTTCCGTTATTCGAGGTGATTTACCGCCAAAAGTTACGTGGCATCGTGTAACCATAAGGCGCGGGTTTGTCCATTCTGGAAAGTCTCCATCTCATGGTCATAGTCTCGCCTCGAACGAACAATGAAGAGATTCACCCGTTCTGCTACCTAATCAATACAATTTTGTTCATGTGACTGTACGCGTTGATATACATATACTATTGTTAAGTGAGCAAGCGCAGAACTTAGTCGCATTGAAAAGATTCAATCTAGACCTGCATACTCGTGAGTTCGGTCATAGTATAAAAAGCTCTAAAGCCTGACCACGTGTGTGATATCAGCAGCTTACACCATTATTATGATTACACCTAATTCACATTGACGCTTGGTTTGTGGAAGTTGCAAGTGGCCCGCTTCTCGCTATGGATCGTGACTGTACCAGTGGACGGCTACCAATGTACGACTTGCCAGAATTTCCATCTACAGAATGTGCTTTGGTAATTTCTTGGACTGCTTTGAGGAGATAGGCCCAACGTACTACGAATTTGGGTCAGCCAGGCAGCCCCGTGAATTGCATTGGTCATGGGTAATTGGTCTAAGCATTCGACTCGCTGTACAGCACGACCCTGGTTCTTCACACTTGCCAATGTATATAACCCCTGTGGCCTTGGTCTGGTACTGTGCACCCTACTTGGAAGTAGCAAATCAACCACTGTGGGAAGGAATAAATCGAGTACTGTACTATTTAATTAACTCGACTTCCATCACTTCTTCCTTTCTACATCAAATCTCTCTTGAGTACTTCAACCCTCGTACAACAACAACGACTTACAATAATATCTCTCCAAATCAGCAAGATGTCTACCTCGGACCTCTCTCGCTCTGTCAGCCCAGATCATGGCAGCACCCCATCTCTCTCCCCTCCACCTTCCGAGACCCAACAGCTCGCAGCAGCCCTAACCCTGAAGACCGGCCGCGAAGTCCTCTCTCACTGTCTCGGTCTCTCCACACTTGAAGGCGTACCCTCGGCTGCCGAAAACATGATCGTCGTAAGCTTCGACACCGAGAGTTGGGTTGCCGACCACGGCCGGCTCACCGAGCTTGGTGTCTCGACCTTCGACTCTCGGCATACGCGTGGGCTGAAGGAGGCTGGTATGCATGGAGAGAACCTGCTTAGGCAGGTTTATTTCTACCATGCGCGGATCTTGGAGAACGCATATCTGCGTAATATCAAGTATTGTGTTGGCGATCCTGACAAGTAAGTCTCGACTACATCTCTTTCTTTGCCATGTAACATGAACTGACAGAAAATCAGGAACCACTATGGTCAGACTCGCTTCTTGACCAAGAGTCAGACCAAGGAGATGCTCGAGGAAACGTTCCAGTGGCCTGTCGATAAGCAAAATCCAGAGTTGGGTTTCTGTCCCGTTGTGGTGTTGGGCCATGCTCTCCATGGTGATATGGCGATGCTGAAATCCACATTGGGCTTCGATGCCATGGCTTTGGGTACGGTGGTTAAGATTATCGATACTCAGAATTTGGCCAAGGAGTGCGAATACGCCCCTTCTGGCAACGGCAATCAGATCGGTCTGGGTAACCTCGTTGCCAAATGCAGTTTCGAATATCGAGATCCGCATACCGCTAGCAACGACGCGGCTATGACGCTCATCTCTGCTGTTCAGATGCTGCTTCCTTCCGAGTTGAAGCCAAATGACGGAGGCCTGCAGAAGGTTGTTGACAGCATCGAGGTGGATAGCCAGTGGCAAGAATGGGATTGGGGTAATGATCAGTGGTGTCTTCGGTGCGGCCAATACGGTCACACGAGGGATGACTATCGCGGCAAGCGTTGTTTCGCCAAGGTCAAGTGTAGCCACTGTACTGCTTCTCAGGTTGCGAAACGCAGGCAGGCTGCGGGTAGTCATCGAACGGAGTGCTGCATCTCTTATGCGATGCGTGGACCGGAGGTGGTTCCTACAGTCGAGACTACGGCTACCGCTCTCGCTGGCTTGGATCTCGCAAGCGACAATTGGTAGTTATCAGGCCGGCTTATGGAATGACATAGTACTGAATTACACTTGATATCTTCTCGTTGAATGTTTCCTCCTTGTTGGTATGATAGTGGACATTCGACTTATCGCTTCAATCTGAGCAGTCTTAAAAATGGTCGACGTATGTCCAGCCAGTTGTGGTACCTATACATGTATGACAAGAATTCATGCCAATACTTATGACTTTCGAAGTCGTGAGTCGCTCCTGATATACGCTGCAATCCTGACCCTAGAGAAGTTCAATCCGTGCAGATTGACGGGAAGAATTGATACGTCGGTGTGCAGGCGAGATAGTGCATAGCAAGAAATTGCCCGCCTGCACACCGCCGTCGAACAGGCTATGGGGGAGCCATAACTTCTAAGTCTTCTCGACAACATCCTAGCCGACATAGAGGTATTTTACTTCCTGTTCATACGATCCTCGACACTTGATAGCTCCGTGGAAGCTGTACAAGTACCCAACCCTGTCGCATTCTTTTGACCTCATATGATCATATGATCGAATTCTTCCTCTTTCACTCTCACCTTCGTCTCGCTATGACCGTCGTGTTTGCCTGGCAGGGTTGATGGAGGCACATGATTACGCACGTTCACTGTTCATCATCCATAAAACACCTGGTCATCTTTCTCATGAGCACCCACAGTCATACCCACTGCCTGTCTCTCAACCCACTCCTTCTGTTTACCGCGATATCAATCGACGACTTCGACCTCACCCCAAGAGACACCGCCGAATTGACACCGCCAGTTTATAATAGACACCACACGCTATAGTTGATTGCACCTGTCGCAACCGAATACCCACCGAGAACCACTCTATACGCATCTACCATCTCTTTAAAGCAACATAGTCATGTCCACCAGCGCTCAAGACACACCTATTCCTGTCGTTGCTACGCCTTCCGCATCCACCATACCCACTATACCAGATACGCGAGATCCCGCCATTATCGCACTAGAAAGCTGCTTCGAGAAAGCCACCGACCTAGAAGTATGGCTGCATTGCATCGGAGGGCCACGAGTCAAGAACATCCCTGACATCGCCGATGACCTCGCAGACCATATCAACATCGTCTGTCTGGACTGCGAACACTGGTCGACCAACACCGATGAGACCACCGAGGTCGGTATTGCGACTTTCGCGCGTCAAGATGTTCTACCCATCGTGGCGACGAAAGACTTTGGTGACCACGGTGAGCATCTTATGGAGCAAATCCGCTTCTATCTCTTCCGCACGATCGAGACGTGTCACCTCCCCAATCAGAATCCAGACTCACGCGGGGTCGATGGAAACCGGTTTGGCAAAGGCCAATTTGTTACCTTCGCTGAAGCTCGTCAGATCCTTGCCAACCTCTTTGTCCAACCTATCAAGGACCCTAAAGGCCTAAAGGGTAACTACCCCATCGTAGTCCTCGGTCATGACGTTGGACACGACAAGAACAACCTCAAGTCCAAGGCGATTGCTTTCGACATGGACCCGATCGGCACAGTCGTCCGCTACATTGATACTCAAATCATGACGCGCGACAAAGGTTACTGGATGATGCCTCGAAACGAGCAGATCGGCCTCAGGCGCCTCGTAGAAGAGCTTGCATTTGAACACAGTGATTCCCACACCGCCGCGAATGACGCGGGTCGCACGGTAATGTGTGCCTTCCAAATCGCGCTCGGCGGAGACCCATGTAAGAGAGGATGCCGTAAGAGCATGCTGGAGGTTGCCGGCGATCTCGAGTACCATAGCGTGGCTACATTCGACGAAAGCCTCGGAGGTGTCGATAAGTACTGTTGGAAGTGCGGCACAGCTGGCCATATGAAGGCGGATTGCACGGCAACTGACCTTCATTGCGACGAATGTGAAGAGAACGGGTGCTACATCAAGCCTGGTGACGAACACGTCACCCTTCATTGCATGTGCATTGCCAACGAAAAGGCTAAGGTGCGGCGAGCAAAAGATGCTGTGGCTCGAGCTCTCAAGAAACCAAAGCCCAGGGACCTTTCTCGTGGGATGTCCAACTCCCGGGCTCGGTTCATGGCACGTGGTGGCTTTCATCCTCCATCTGGTCTCGTGTCGCACTTTGGAGGTACGCAGCACTACACTCTGTCACATGATGGTCCTCCTGGCGGACCCGGATACGTCCCACCTAGCCCTGGAGGAAACCCTTCCAGGGGCTTTGGGGGACGTGGTCAGGGTGGGTACGAAAATGTCTCGTGGGGTCGAGGTCGAGGCGGATCCCATTTCCAACAGGGTGGACAAGGTTACCTCACATGGGCTTCTCATTGAGCGTAGCAAGAAGGTCTACAGATGGTTTAGAGTGCTAGTTTGCAGATGTCTTGTTTAGACTGGACGGTGTCATGGCGTTATCGGTGTTCAGACGGTGGCTAAGAACGTCTTGTTGAAGATACCCTGGGTCTAGGATAGATGCAAACAATATAAACTGGAAGTATATCATGCCGGATACGGTGTTGCTTGCGAAAGAGGTGATGTGCGGCTGACTAAGGCGATGTCGCATGCAACCGCGTCATCGGTGGCCGCTGTAAGCCGCAACCCTGCCGTGTAGCCGTCAACAACTCCCACCATGATAACGACAACACGACTGCGGTGCCTTGCGAGAGAATGCGGTTGACTTCGTAATACCTGCGATCATAGCACACCACCGCCATGATCGAAAACACAATCCCCAAGTACCTGCTCATCAGGACGTGCATCCTAGGCTTTCGCGCAATCACGCCTTTTAGCATCTTCTGGGTTTCTTTCAGCATCGCAGAACCCCCACATTCGGCCTTTCGACGTTTTTTGCTCACGTGGAGCATAATAGAAACTGCCTTTTGGTTGCTCGTCTACCTACCCCGCAAGCGCGCGCTCCAAGCCTCTGCACAACACCCACAACCGCTCGAGAAAGAGGAGAGGAAGGAACTGTTCTGGCGATGCTGGGATAAGATACCGCACCCGGAATATTATATCAGCCGATGGTTCCTGGGCGCGCGGCCGGGCGAGATACGACGTGAGAATGTGCGCGAGTTCTATGCGTGGGCTTTACTGAACCGCGGCTCTGAAAGCGACGAGGAGCGAAGGAAGCGGCGACAGGCACACCCAGAGGAGGCCAATGCTGAGGACGACGAGCTGAATGAGTATGCGGACGGCATAGAGACGATGCTTGGGAGGAAGCTGGAGCCTGGATGGGGTAGCGCAAAGAGCCTTCGGTTGACGACCGACCAGGTCAATATGGCGCATCGGCCCTTTCTGTGGTACATGGTATGTTTGATGGTCTACTCAGGTTATATACGCTGACAGCGATAGATTGTAATGCTTGTCGATACGCTCACTGCCGTTCGTCTGCGCTACTATGGCTTCATACTATTCCGCACCCAGCTCCGCTCCTCGCTGGCCATCTTCCCACCGCGGCTCGCCAGTCTCACCACGCGCAGCATCTCCTCTGCACCAGACATGAGCTACTGGTACCGACCACATACCTCGAAAACACGACTGCCGATTCTCTTCGTACATGGTATTGGCATCGGCCTGCACCCATACGTCGAGTTCTTGAACGAGATCAACAAGCACGATCCGCTTGCGGCAGAAGACGGTCAAGTCGGAATTATTGCGGTGGAAATCATGCCTGTCAGCTTCCGTATAACTGGGCCGATTCCTGACAAGGACAACATCTGCCGGCAGATTAATATCATCCTAGAACGACATGCTTTCGACAAAGTCGTCCTGGCCAGTCACTCTTACGGTTCTGTCATCTCCACCCACCTCCTCCGGGACCCCATCACCGCTGCGAAGATCGGACCGATGGTCTTTGTCGACCCTGTTACATTCCTACTACATCTGCCTGATGTAGCATACAACTTCACAGCACGTCGACCAAAAGGTGCGAACGAGCATCAGCTCTATTACTTCGCTTCGACCGACATGATGGTTGCGCAAACGCTAGCCCGTCAATTTTTCTGGGCACAAAACATCCTGTGGAAGGAAGACCTTAAAGACCGAGATGTCACTGTCAGCCTCGGTGGTAGGGACCTTATAGTCGATACTGAGACAATCGGCAAATACCTAAATAGCGCCGACCTCAAGGGTGAGGATCGAGCATGGAAGGACTCCGAGTGGAGAGGCCATGGTTTAGAGACGATATGGTGGCCGACCGTAGACCATGCACAAGTTTTTGAGAGGAGAGAGGGTAGGATGAGACTAGTGCATGTTCTCAGAGAGTACGTCAAGCGCAAAGCAGAGGACGAAGAAGTAGAAGAGCTTCCCTGAGAGTTATGCATATCCATGTACAAGAATTCAGGGTTCTGTGGCTCTGCCGCACCATTTAGCCGGATTTGTCTCAGCCTCATCGCAAGCTCAACGTTCAGGTACGAAGGAGCTGTAATTCATTTTGCGGGGGCCCGTCCGGACGGGTTTGAAACGGCGAGCCGGCCCCGCCGATCCCGAAATGGGTGGTATATACCAAGCACGAATGCGCGACGACAGCATGCATAGACTTGACAGCCTGCTTTGAGAATCTTGTTGCATCTTGTTCTTCGAGCGATATATCCATATTCACATTATGCCTAACGGAAACTGGATTCTTGGCGACCTCTTCACAAAGGACTACGGACATCGCGGCAGCATCCAGAAATTGTGGGAACAACGTTGGAAGTTCCCATGCACCAAAGGCGTTTACCCGTTCCACGATGGAAAGTTTGAAGACTTTGAACCCATTTTCAAGCATCTCATCGACAACAATATCAATGATCCGTATGACGATGCATACACGAATGCTTTCTTGCCAACAGCGCAACGCCTAGCAAAGGAGGCTCAAGAGACGGAAGGCAAAGACAAAGAGGCAGCAAAAAAGCTGTACCTGAACGCGAACGCTGTGTACAGATTGGCGAGATTTCCATACATCGGCACCGAGCTCAAGAAGAAGGTCTTTGAGGAGCAGAAAGAGGTCTACTTCCGCGGCGCACAGCTATGGGATATCCCACTAGAGGAAGTCGTAGTATCACATAAGCATGCCTCCAACGGTGATGGCGACAAAATTCCAATGTACATCCGCAAACCTACAGGAGACGGCCCATTCCCAACCGTCCTACTGATTACAGGCCTCGACGGCCACCGCCCAGACAACACCGAGCGCACACAGGAACATCTCGCCCGCGGTTGGGCGACAGTGATCTGCGACATTCCCGGCACCACCGTCGACTGTCCAGCCAACAAGCGTGACCCTCTCTCCCCAGACCGGTTCTTCACCAGCATTCTAGACTTTATCAAAGAGAAATCATATCTCGACGAGAAGAAAGTCATCGCATGGGGCCTCTCAGCCGGTGGCTACTACGCTATTCGCCTCGCGCACACGCACCGCAGCCAACTCATCGGTAGCGTAGGCCATGGCGCAGGAACACATCACTACATTGGCCGCGAGTGGCTTGAGCAAATCGACAAGCACGAATACCCTTTCGGCCTCGAACAAGCTTACACGCAAAAATACGGGTATTCTTCTTTCGAAGAGATGAAGGAGAAATGCCAGGATGAGTTCTCGCTCGTCTCTGGGAAAGGCGAGGGTGTGGCCGTTGTGGCCCAGGGGATGAAGAGTTGTAGGTTGTTGCTCGTGAATGGGGTGCTGGATGGGTGTATGCCGATTGAGGATAGTATGCTGCTAGCTGAGTATGGAAGTCCCAAGGAGATGCGGTTTATGCAGCAGAGGTTGCATATGGGATATCCTGAGGCGAATAGTACGGTGTATCCGTGGATGGAAGAGGTTATGGCGAGTAAGTAGATATCTGGTAGATAAACCTGCATTGAATGTGTCAATACTCTACTGTACCGATGAGTAATCAGGAATGACGTCTCAAGTTTATACGCAGCAAACTTGACGCGTACTCCACATGCTATAGCAGGCGTCAAGTTGTGGATTCTGCTTAAGCGACAAGTGTTGTTCATCTTACCAACTCACATCACATGCAGGTATCGCTGTGGCGGCTCCCGCTCGGACCCGCCCCACGAACATCAACACCCCGCAGCATTGCGCACCGCGTCCTCTCCAACCTGAGGACTTGCAGACATGATTGAGCTGCCCTGGATATCATAAAATCAATAATTTCATTAAGAAGCTCTACTCGGCGAATCTCATAAGACACCTGGTTTCTCCAATCGCGGCTCTATAAAGAGACGATCTAACTGCGTTCACCATCCACCACGATCACGCATCATCCGCACGGATAAGCAGCATTCAGTGCAGTATCCTCTTCAGATCCCCCCTCCACGCAAGTGGCCACTGAGCCGAATTCATTATGGAGCAAGAACAACCCACATATGTCGTTCCGGTTAGTGAGTCCGAAGCTCCGACCATTTGCACGCCATCGGTAACCTCAGACAACACAACGAAGGACATTCAAAGATGCGAAGCTTCACAGTCTTCTGCTCCATGGCCCGGCCGTACCTTTATAATTCGATCTCACGAGAACGGACAAGTCATCACATTCCTGGACGGCAAAATCGTACTAGACAAACCAGGAGGTCTCGGCACATTCAGATGGCGGTGCGTTGAGAAGAAGGGATGGCTAGGTTTTCGAGACCCAGCTTCTGCTAGGTTTCTAGGCTACGACCAACATGGATATCTTCGCTGTCTTGTAGACCACCATAAGGATTGGGAATACATTTGTCCGCGAAAACGACCAGAAGGTGGATATGTTCTGTTGGTGCTGGTTAAAGAGGAACTCCTTCCTTTGGGGGTACAAACACAAGAGACAGAGAACGGTGCGGAACAAAAAGTAAAGATTGTTAAATGGGATTCTGGAGGAATAGTCTGGGACTTCATTGAGGTATCATGTCCTTCGACGTAACGGGCGAAAGCGACAAGAGAGAATGACATTGCGACACTTTCCCCTCGATTGTTCTATTATGCTATTGCTTATCCTGATGTCTTCAGATGGGATGCTACAATCTGGAGAGCATGAGAAGCATTGGACCCTCGGAACTCGACATGCCCATGGTACAGGCTATAGACTCCAAGTTCCCCCTCACACGTTGCCTCAAGCATCTCGGGTATATCCGAAGAGTCTAGTAACGTTCGACCCATATGTTTAAGAGTCGAGAGTTTAAAATGACTCAAAGCAGGAAAGTCTTTTCCAATGTATAACAGGAGCTTCTTCCACGCCAACCCAGTGGCATAGTCCAAACGGACAGTTACTAATTCTATCTCTTGCAGAGTGTGTCTGGAGTTGCAAAGAATCTCTTGGATAAAACCTGCTGGAAAACTCGATCTTGCCAGGCGTAGTCTCTTGAGCTTCACCAAAGGTACTCCTCGCTTTACGTATGTATCGAATGGAACCATTGCGCATCTCCCTCTTGCGTCAAGACCCTCTAGTGTTAGATCTCCCAACACTGGTGCGTGGTAAAGGAGCTGATTCAGCAGGTAAATCGACGCGGGACCATTTTCCATCTCCACATGCGCCTCTCGAAGTATGCTGAAACCCGCTTTCTGGTTCTGGTTTCTCTGGTCGAAACGGAATGTTACCTTTGTGACCCACATTGTCATAGTCTCGACCCGAAGCGAAGTAATTCCAAGGTTTGCAGTTGAGACAGTCTCTAGAGCGAGTGCGATGGTAGCTTCTTTATCTGCACCAAAGCTTTCGTAGACGCCTCGGATGATCAGAGCATCTAACAGAAATCGATTCTTCTGGAGTATGGTCTGTATCTTGCTAACGGCTATCATGTCTGAGTCCAGGGTCGCAGGCTTTTCGCGGGGCCAACTGCGACATTCTCTTCTCATCTTCCGGATTTTTTGTTCACGAAGTTTCCATCCTTTCGGTATTGCCTCTTCTGGAGGCGGAGTGGTGCGAAGAAGATGCTCTCTGATATTCGCCCCGTCGTCTTTGATTTGGATTGTCTTAACATATCTGGCTAACCGGCCACTTTGGGAAATCGTTTCTAGACGATCGATATCGGAACTGATCAGAGTAGTATTCAACGTGGAGAAGAAGCGACGACCCACAGCGCGCGAAGTGTTCGAGTCAGCAAATCTGCAAGTCGAACGGAATTCGAGGAGATCTGGGTCGCACAGGTATTGTGCGACGGCCTCGACGAGCTCGGTAGGCATTTGAAGGATAGACATGCTGAGAATATGCTAGTCTTTTCTGCCTTTGAGAAGAGGCCTGGTACGTGAAGAACTGTGTGGAGGTATTTGGGGGTGTACCAGCCGGTAGTGCGACCGAGGTTGGGATGGACGAGGTTCAGAATGCAGATTCGTTGCGAGAGCGAGAGTGAAATTGTGTGGAAAAGTTGATCGGGATAGGATAGAATATATAATAATTTGATGGAATGCGAATGGGTCAAGAAAAGGTAAGATTAAACACGTTCGCGAAGCGACGAACAGTGTGTTGCATGTCGTACCGAACAAAACCGCCGATTACCTATTCGTAGTTTATCTCATTTGACAACCCGTCTTTCGCGTGATGCTCGTTTAGATTGAGAAAGCCGTGAGTGGTTCGTTGTTCTTCGGTACATCTAGTTCAACTATGGTACAGCGATGCCCAACAATCGATGATAAGCCACTCACAGTCCCCATAATTTGCCTACTCCATATGCGAGAAGAGGTTCTGGAACGAAACGAGCATCTTGCGAATACAAGCGACTCAGGCAGCAGATGCATTTAGGCGATATCAGTCTTCCCTGCATCGTCGCAGTATCGGTGGATGGGGCGGATCAAACCTTGATCAGATAACGCACACAAACTCGTAAGAGTGTCATGAAGCAAATGATCACGGGAATGAAAGATGTCATGGTATCTTAGCCTTTGGCAGATACGTGCAAAGGGATGCCTTCATAGAACGTGGAACATGCTAAAGTTTTGATGTTTTAATTTGTTTTCTACTGTAACCAGAAACACTCCCCAGTACTGTGCGAGTACGCGTTTTTATCGTTATATCGCCTTGGATCCGTACTTGCGATGCAGTGATCACATGGCGGCTTCCAATTGGAAGGCAGACTACTCGAGCGTTTAGAACCACCAGCCCTATAACCAGTACTACTCTGTGACCTCAGTAGTGCCGCCTCTTTGACTATCCTCAAGCATTTATCAGACCTATGCGTAAGTGCCGCATCTTTCGTGAGCGGATCCTTCATACAATGCTCACAGCTGAAGACTCGCACGCCACAAAACGAGGCCGTGTGATGTTGTGAATCGCACTTCTCGCAGAATCTTGTAGAACCGTAACATCGGCGATCGTATACGGCAGTTTCCCCAGCTGCTCTTAGTCGTGTTTTGAGGTCCGCGTAGCAGAGCTTGTTAGTAAGAAGCTTGTTCTCAGGGGAAGAACAAACCATGAGGAATGCAGCGATCATCGTGCATACAATGTCGTTGCCTGCATTGTGAAGATACGGTTCCTCGATGTTGTATTTGGCAAGCAGGTTTGAGAGGCGCATCTTGCGGGATGGTTCGATCAGTCCGTGCTCGACAGCGAGAACCTGCGTGTCGATTGTAGCGACAATAGTGCCGAGTTGTTGAAGATCGAGGCCGAAACGAGATTTGATGATCTCGTAATCATTGTCGATGGCGTGGCCTACGAATATGACTGGACGGAGGTTGCCAAATTCGTCCCGACGGGTGAAGATGTCGTGAAGCATAGCCCTTGCTTCATCGACGTGGACGAAAGTTGTCCAGCCAAACTGGAAGGCCTCTGGGTATCCTTTGCAGAGGTCTTTGTTGATAAGGTGGGCATGCGGTTTGATGCGGACGTGGTGATTTTCCATGCTCGAGAGGATATCCCACGCCGAGGACGAAATGGGCTGTGAGATAAAACGTGGATCCAAAACGGAGGCGCCGAGTTCTGTGATGAAGTTGTCGTCATGCTCGTACCATTCGGCATCGAGAGACACAATAACAGCGTCTTGAAGTGCTGCGACTGCTGCAGCACTGCCAAGAGGGATCTCACTTCCTGGACGTTTCATCCAGTGTTGAAGGATGGCTGACTGGGTGAGACCTTGGTACAACTGGGTTTCAATGTGAGACTCCAGCCTCTTTGGGGAAATTTGCTGAGACATGGACGGGACGTCGTTCTTACCCTCCAAATATGATGTTTGATGTATGTCGTGAAGTTTTGGTGGCCAGATAGAAGTTGAGATTGAAGCGCCAGAATCGATGCGACAGAGGGAGGGGAGAGGGGGGAAGTCTCTAAAAGAAGCAGAAGCCGACATTGTAGGTGGGCAGAGGTGATGTGAATGGTTGATGGTGTTGTAATGCTGGTTCGATTCGAATCGGGACGACTGTTGGATCATCGTAAGGGCCATGATGTCGATGTTTTCTCGCTACTGTAGCAGAATTTGTATGTGTTTGTGGAATAAGATTTTGAAGAGAGGGAGGATTGAGGACGAAATATATATTCGAAGGAAACCACGTAGAACGAATGCTTGGAAGCGAAGAATAATCGGTACCATGGATACATATTTGAACCGCGAATCGTAGGATACCTAGCTTAGCAGGATGGACCAACCTAACACCAATCCGAGAGTTTATACGCTGAAACCCTTCTCAGGACACCCCAAAAGATCAGATAGAAGCGACCAGATACCCAGAAATATCACCCCCCAAATTATGTGATAAGAGCAATCCTCCAACCAGAACCTTTCAGAGTATTCACGTCCCCTAAAAAGGATTAGATAGAAGCAATCCTTTACTAAGAGCTTGCCTAATCAGGCAATAATGTCTAAAGGTGTCGATAACTTCGGTTACTCTGACTACATCGTAGCTATATCTTGGTGGCTTAGAGACCTTCTATCTTGTCTACCTAGGTAAGTTCCTTTTATCTTATCTAATCTTTTAGGGTGCGCCGAATAGCATCTGGGGTGCTCCGAAAAAGTTTTCCCTAATCGTTTCTTGGTTGAGGTAGAAGAAACAGGCATCCTGGCCCCTCTCTGCGACTTTCAATATCCTCGTCACATCCAGAGCGGTCTTCTGCCCAGAGCTGTTCATCACGTTCTGTTTCCCTGTAAACATCGATGTTATCGTCGCTGGCCATGTCCCCGTTGTCTACGAACCCGTCGGTATTGTACTCTTCCATCGCGTTGTCTTGATTAGAATGCCCCATTTCGTTGTCTTCTTCGGATCCTTCCATCTCGCTGTCTTCATCAAACTCACTTCTTCCAGTATTACTCGTCTCATCCTGAAATCTGTCTCTATATCACGACCCTTCGCTTAGTAACAGAAAAAGACAGTGTCTAGACCACAAATCAGCAAAAGCCACGGTTGGGAATTGGATGACGTGAAGGTTCGTTATAGGTTCTGAGACGATTGGTGTCCAGGCCCTCTTGACGGCTTCAGTTCCAAGTTCGAGTGCTTCGTTCACATCTTGACTCATCGCCTTGGATACAGCGAGAAGCGGCGTCAAAACCATAATACCGAAACTCAGCACAGCGGCGGTTTTGCTCTCAAAAAGCCCCAACTCTCAAATTAGGATCGCTCCTGTCTTCCTCGAGCCATCCTGGAATGTTCAAGTGCTTATTGCTGGTACTAGACTGTTCAGACCCATCGGTATCTTCCTGGATAAGATCTTGGGAATAATCAAAATTGGCCCGATCATAATAACTCTATACATACCTGGTTGTGCATCAGGACCAGGCAAACCAGACTCCGAGGAGTATCTGGGTCGCGTATCCACTTGCCGGGGTCCCACTGAACCATGCAGAAATACTAATCTTACGTCAATCGAGTATTCATAGATTGTGTCACGAAACTCGCGCGGTAAGTCGAACAAAGGAAAGTCGGAGACTTTTAACTTCAATAACAAGGTACTCGTTTCTAAGAACCTTTACACTTCTAAATGTGCGGCAGCTTTCTTACATGCGGTTAGCGATTGATCCGTCGGCATTTCGAGTGACGCGACCAGTTTGTATATGTTTGCAGTGCTCGAACGGAGATCACACAGTGATATCGGGTGCTGTAGCATCAAGAGTTTGAAAGAGGCTGATGTAGGGTTTACAAGAGGGGGCTGGCGTTATCGCGACGCGCCAGGACCCGCGTCAGCAGCGCCTGTGGGGCCGGGCCAATGACGCCAGAACCTAGCAGATTGCGACAACACCGAATCATTTACCAATGCTAAAACGAATATGCGGTGTAAGTTTATTTCTGTTTAATTTATTGAAGATCACAATAAAGCAGTGGAACAGTTAATCTGAAGTGAATGTTTGGCATTAAAGTAGGTAAGCTAGCCATAACCCAGCAGCCGACGCGTCCAGCGAGCGGCACCTGTGATCACGTAGCCTTACATACGCAATAACTAAGTTCGAGGGGTATATCGTTCAACAGTGATTCGTTAATCGAATCACAACATCATACATCAAGCGTCTGGACATCAGCCGCTTAGATCTTCTCTTGAGTAAGGCTAGCACGCCTTTCCTGGTTGATGCTCTGGCGCCTCTCGACATCAGCAGCCTGTTCCTCCGTACCAAGGTGACCAGTGGGCAGCAGGTTGAGCGCGTCTTCCTGCTTGTCCATGGTGCGGTAGGCGAAGTGGAAGGCGATACCGGTGACGAAAGAGATGATGGCCACACTGCCGTAGTTCCAGACGATGTGGGGGTCAGCGGTAAGAGGAGTGAAAGCCTGGGCAAGGGCAGCGGAGAAGGCAGTGGTGAAGAGCTGCACAGACTGGACGAGCGACCTCATGTTCTTGGGCGCCTTGGTGAAAGCGTACTCGAGGGTAGTGACGGAAGCGAAGATTTCGGAAATGGCAATCAGAACATAGACACCAGTGACAGCCCAGACGGAAATGTCAGTCTTGTAGTCAGGGTCGTGAGTCTGGTAGTAACCGGAGGTCTTGTAGATGTAGTGTTGGAGAACCGCAGCCCAGACCATGGCGAAGGCTCCGAGGATGAAACCAGCAGTGATCTTCTTGATGGGTGTGAAGCGGATACCACGCTTGCGAAGCATGGGGTAGACGAGAGAGTCCATGATAGGCACCTAAAAACGATTAGTCAAAGTTTCCTAGAGCTTTGTTTCCAGCAGCACTCACAATAATGATAATGGCGATGGGGTCGAGGTTGGAGAGAATGTCGTTGGGAACACCACCGAGGTGCATGGTTGCGCACATTTGGGTCAAGTTAGAGTCCATCTGACGGTAT